AAAAAAGTTCACTGTAATTGTGTGTCACCTAAAATTATTGAGGAGATACTTTAAGCCTCTAATTGCCACTTTTCTTCTCCAGGGATGTGTCATATTTCCACCCATTTAAATCTTACAAAATACTATTGAGTAAAATTCTAAACAATTGTCCTTGTGTGAATTCCACATATACTTTCCTAGGTCCATTCCTTTGTATATTATGCTTTCTGTTAACATCATATGTTAAATCATAAATATGTTTGCAAGACATTTGTATTGCTTATTATACATGGAGAAAACCAACCATTGATTGTTGAATATTTATATTTCACCTTCTCTATTCATTTCTCATTAGTTTAAAAGTGAAATTTCTTGAGTTTTCTCAATCTAATTCTATAGACACCAATAGCTATTTTGCCTTGTCTTTCTAGCATCTGTCCCTCCTAAGTATTTTCTACATCTCAACCTTGGGCATGCAGGTTTAGAGCCTTGATAAAGGGTTCTCTAACTTCTCCATGATTTTCTGTTATGCCCCCGATTCGCTTTTGTTTGCTATAGTTTATAATCATTTTTATCTTTCTAAGGTGATTCTTCTTTTCTAAAATTTTTATGATGTTTTATAAGTAACGTAATTAAATTTTATAATCTCAGGACCTATTGAAACAATTATAGATAGACCTTAATAATTTCAACCATTAATATTGATTCTTTTAGCTCTTTCCTATACTGTGTACTTAATTTGCCCACCCAGGATGGCTAAACCTGTCTCAACTGATCACCCTCTGCAACCCATTCACTAATTTCCCATTTTCTAACAGGATTTAGTTTGCAGGAAATGGTTTGCTTATTTGTCCAAGTGGTAAGTAAGTGTACTTGCTACAGTGTTTACAATATCTGGTGCAAATCTGAATTGGCAATTGTTCCGATCCAGGCCTAACCGTTCCCACCTTTAGAATGACTTTTTAAGAGAAAGACGATGACAGATAAAGTATCACCCACTGCTAGATGAAGCTCAGCAGCAAATACATCACCAAGGAGCTCTGCTGACACAAGTCTGCTAAGAGAATCTGCGTCCCCTGCCCCCCTGCCACTCTGGCGCACATATCGCGTATACAGACAAAACCAGTTTGTAACAGTCAGTGGCAAGCGCAGCTTCTAAGAATGAAGTGTGTTCATTTTCAGTCATTTGGACATTCAACACAAGTTTACTCAAGGCCCTAATGTGTGAATTTACTGAACGCCCTAATGTGTGACAGTTACACTAGGTTTAATGTTGTATTTCAGCTAAGCCGGACATGATATTTGACTTGTAAAGCTTATATATTTACAAGTAAGACTCATTTTTAAAATACTTATCTGTTCCTTGTCATTTGTGTGTGTATTCGTGTTTGACATATGTGTGCAGTTGTGCATACACATCCATGTTGGCAATGTTGTTTTCTGTAGATGTACGATGAGATGCTCTGTCAATACTCATATGTCCATTGAGTTTCAGAAGAGTGTAGTTTTGGGGGGGTATATGGAAAACTTATCAAATGATGAGAATAGAATGTTAACTTTGGGGCCCATATGATGGCCTGCTAGGTAAAGGCCACTGCTGCCACCCTGATGACTTGAGTTAGAGTTCTAGACGCAAATGATAGGAGAGAGCTGACTACTAGAAGTTGTCCTCCGCCTGTCATTTGTATGCTATAGAGCCCACTTGCCTCCTCCAAATAAAATGTAATTTTTTTTCAAAAAGAAAATAAAAAAGAAGGCAATGTTAGTTTCTCCCTCAATCACTTTAACTTATTTTCTATAGAACCTGGAGCTCACCAATTGTCTAGACTGATTGAGCAGCAAGTCCCAGGGATGTTCCTGTTTTTGCCACTTCAGGGTTAGGACCATAGGAATTATTATTTTTTAAAATTTCATTTATGTGTCCTGCTGTTTACAAACTTGCCCTCTCCTTCATGTCCCTCTGACTCCTCCCACATCCCCCACTCCCCTCAAGTATCACATTCATGGCCTATTATATATACATATCCACACATATTCACATATTTAATAAATACATGTATATATTTAAATATTCATTCACATATAAATTTATATAATCACAGATTTATATATTTTCCATCTCTCTATGTATCCATGCACACATATGAATAAACAGATAACTACAGCTTGCTGAGCCTATTAAGTGTTGCGTGTATGCATGTTTATAGGGCTGACCGCTTGGAATTTGTTAAATAATTAGGGGTACCTGTTTTGTATGTGGGTGCTGGTATTGAACTTAGGTCCTTGTCCTTGTATGATAAGTGCTTTATTGATGGAGCCATCTCTCCAGACCCTCTTGTCAAATCTTTCAAATGTCAGTTTTCCATATCTTTGCTGCCTCCCTTAATGACTTAATACTGTGTAGTTTCCTAATGGCTGATGTCTCAATGTCTTCGATGTATTCCTTTAATATGTCACGTGCTATTCTGGACAGTGGCGATTCCAAGGTGAAGATAAAATGCAAAAATATGTTTCTATGGAGCTTACTGCATTAGAATGATGTCCTGATTCCTTATATTTGCAAAAATCCATTTAATTTTATTTATGCTATCTAAATGCATAAGGAGTAAAAGGAAAACAGAAAAACAAACAAACAAACAAAAAAACCGAAGCACTCATTCTATAAGGATACTAATGTAGTAGGTGGCACAGTATAGGAATTTCTAGTTCAGAATCACCCAATTTAAAATTCATCTACCCACTTTCTTCAAGTAACTCAATTTTTGTATTTTAAATAAATATCATATATATGACCCCAGATTTTCAAATAGATCGTACAGCAGGTTCAGCAGGTTTTTGTACCCAGGTGCATTTTTCTGCTCAATTTTCTTGCTTCTTTTGCAGAAAACTTGAACTAGTGACATGGGATGGTAGGAAGTGTATACATTTATTTTTTTCAGGGGTGGAACAGTTTTGTGCTTTCCCTCCCCTCCCAATGATGGGAATCTACACGACATAAGGACTTTCGGAAACCAAATGTCTTTGAGCAGAGACTTGATGAGGAACATGTAGCCATTGTAGTGTTGTCACTTATTGAGGATATGGTAGGCATGCTTTTGTTTTGTGTTTTATTTAGCCACAGCGTTTGTGGTGCCCTTACACATTCGAAGAGGAAATGGCTCTCAGTTGAATTCATTCATTCGCTGGATAGAAAGATATTAATCGAGCACCTGTGAGCTGAGCACTGCTTTTTTGGATCTTACAGTTTTGTTGACAGTGAATATTAGAAAAATGAGTGTGTATGTGAGGACTCATATCAGTAGGGTGCTATGGAAAATTCCTTTACGCTGTGTGAAGATGTGTTACTGTGATTGGTTTACTAAAGAGTCAAATGGCCTTTAACTAGGCAGGGAGAGATTGGGCGGGACTTCTGGGGAGAGACGCCAGGGGACATGGAGAGGAAACAGGAGGTGTGAGAGGGAAGAGAGGTAATAAGGCCGGGACACAACACAGATTAATATAAATGGGTCAATTTAAGTTATAAGAGCTAGAGGGACAAGTCTAAGCTATAGGCTGAGCTTTCATAATTGATAAGAAGTCTCTGTGTTATTTTTTGTGAGCTGGTAGCCCATAGAAAAATCTGTTTACAGTAGGGAGGCTAGGTGAGCTTAGAGAACAAGGCCTTGCAAGGTTTGCCAAGCAGCACAGAAAACAAACCATAACTTGCTGGCTTGCTTCCTCCTCTCCCTCTCCTCTTCCCTCTCTCTTTCATTTTCCTTCTCCCTCCCTTCCTGCCCCCTCCCTTCCTCCTTTCTTTTCTCTCCCTTCCTTGCTTCTCTCCCACTCTTTCCCCTTCCTGTCTCTTTTTTTTCCAATTTTTTTCTTTTTATGAAAAACCACCCAGAAGCTAGCTTCACAATGCTACCAAATACAGTCCCCAATGGGTTCTACAGATACTCAATTGGCTCTTAGCTGAGTCCTAGCAAGGTGTGGATACAGTAATGGACAAAAAGGGGATCCTTTTCCTAAGTCACCACTAATGAAAGTAGTAATAATAACAACTGACACTTATTGAGGGTCTTCTCTATAGAGACTTTATAGCATATATCATAACCCCAGCACAACCCTGAAGTCAGTACAGTTAGTATCCACATTTTACATATGAAAGGATAAGACATAAAAACTTAGTGTAAGATCACACATCTAGGAAGTAGTGGATTCATGAAGCCACCATGAATTAAGCTTTTAAACATGAATACTAGAGAGAGTAGTGCATCTCCATACTCAGGCTCAGTTCTAAATTAAGTCGACAATCTTCAGCAGAATGCAAGTGTGTAGTTCTTTGCATTTGATAAGAAAAAAAAGACTATTTGTTGCAGAGAGCACTCTTATTTTCTAATATCCCCACTCATTGACCTTTCTTGGTTCCTTTCTGAGGACTGTGTTGACACTGTTTTGCCCAGCTGGGCTGTCAACTCACAGATCCTAAAAGAAAAAGAGAAGGAAGTCTTAGCTCTCTCAGGTAGACTACCATTCTGTCTCATGATTTTTTTAAATTTAATTTTTTATTTAAAAGTTACCTGTGTCTGTATATCAATGTCTGGTTCTGAGTATGTGTGTGCAGTGCTCTCAGAGGCCACAAGATGGTGTTGGATCCCCTGGGGCTGGGGTTACAGGTGGTTGTGAATCACCCAGAGTGCTGAGAATCAGAATTGTCTTGTGGAAGGGCAGTAAATGTTCCTAACTACAGAGCCATCTCTCAGCCCTTGTGAAGGTTTTGATGCAGCCTGACTGAAAGCTTTGGGTTTCTAAATTCCTCCTTGGTTTGCTGAGGTGGTTTGTATGAGATTTCCCCCATAGTCTTGGGCCTTTGAATATGTGATACTCAGTGGTGCTGTTTGGACAGGTGAGGAGGTGTGGGGGAAGTTTGTCACTGGGGGACAGCTATGAGGTTTTTGTCCTAGTTACTGTTCAGTTGCTGTGAAGAGACACCATGACCTGGGTAACTGATATGAGAAAGCATTTGATTGGGGCTTGCTTACAGTTTCAGAAGGTGAGTCCAGGATCATCCTGCTGGGGAGCATGGTGGCAGGCAGGAGTTATAGTGCTGGAAAAATAGCCAAGAGCTTACACTTGACCTGCAAAATGGAAGCAGAGAGAGTAAAACTGGACATGTGAGCTTTTGAAATTTTAAAGCCCACCCCAGTAACACACCTCCTAATCCTTCCTAGACAGTCCAACAGGGAATTAGACATTCAAATATGTGAGCCAAGAGGATCATGTCATCCAAACCACCACAGGTTCCAAAAGCCACATGCGAATCCTAGTTCACTCTGTCTGCTCTCTGCTTGTGGTTCAAGATGGAAGCCCTCAGTTTCCATTTTCAACCACTATGCCTCCACTCTGTTATCATGGGCTCTGACCCTCTGGAAATGTTAGCACAAACAATCTCTTCTGTTAGTTGATCAACAGATTTTATCATAGCAATATAAAAGTTCCTAAAACATTTGCTATTTGTGTACCAGCTCCTAACCATCTGCTTTTCTGTATCTCAGGTAAATGTCGAGGAAACAGGCCTTTGCAGCCTTTCAGACAGTTGAGGACCTGCCTGGCGCCCCTCTCCTTCATCAGGTATGCACCATTGATGAGTGTAGTGAGGTTTTGTAATTGCCTTAAGGTCACACAGTGAGGAACAAAATCCTTTCAATTATTACAACATAGATTTTCCTCCAGGGGCGTTATAGGCTTGTCTGAAAGAATTTTCTGTGTAGCATAGGATCAAGGAAGAATGGATCCATGTGCGGGTCTGAGGTAAACCTGGTCACTCTGCTTCTTTTCTATCATGTGGTCTTTTACTCATGTTACTGCCCTTCCCTACGCCAAAGGCTTCACTGCCATTGATAACCAGCTTCCATAGATAAAGACAGAAGAAATTGCTTTTCTGTATACAGCATCCAGCCTCAGGTATTTCAGATAGCACCAGAAAACTGACTAATGGAAAGCACTTTTGCCTTTGCTCTGAATCCTGCATCTGGGTTTTGCTTTCCCCAGACTGACTCTTAGGGTGGGACTACTATTGTATCACAAGCATCCATGATAGACCTGGCACTATGCTTCTGAAGATATGGGACAGGAAAAGTAAACTAGGGTAAAAAATTACACAATTTTTTCCCTATGGTCATTAGCACTGAGATCAGTGAAGCTACAGTCAGATGATTATATTCATCATTTTTGTTTTGAGAACACTTACAGTATACTATCTCACAACTTTTAAAATACAGCATATTGTTATCAGCCATAATTATCATGCTCTCAGTAGACCTCAAGACTTCACAGAGTCCATGCCTCTTGTCCAACTGCAGTTTTATATCCTTAAACCAATCATTTCCCCATTGTTAAAAGACCCACATTGAAGCCTGATAGGCACAATTCTGCTCTCTGTTCCCATAAGTTCATCATTTTTTTTTTGCATTTGGAAATCAGAACTAGAGTTGTGGAATAATAAACATTAAATATTTTTAAAAAATTACAAACAAGACTAACGATCACCACAAAATCCTGACATACAGAAACAAGGAAGCTCATATACTGTGGGTCACAGTGGGATCAGATTTACACATGGAAATTAATTATCAGGAAGGAGCAGGAGGAATGACTGGAAGAGATGGAAGAAAGGGAAGAGAATAGAATGAGAATAGAATGAAGCCGGGGGCAGGGGGCAAACGGACAAAGAGAAACATGAACAGAAGGACAGATGGGTTAGAGGTGAAACGAGGACCACTGGATGGCCATCAGTATCATTAGGTCATTAGGATACAGCTATTCCCACAGCAAGTGCCCCCGCTGTTCCCCCTCCTCACCAGAAGGTGATAAACCAGCCGATGGAAGCAGAACTGAGAGGAGTATAAATTACTTAGCAGGTACTTACGGAGATTTTATTCAACATCAAACTCCTATACATATCATGCCAGGATTAGTGTTAGCTCTCTAAAATGAAGGAACAGTAAGAAGATCACGTGGTGTGGACTGTACCCCAATGATGGTTTCAGCCAGCTCTAATTACCATGCTCATCTGGAAGCCGAGTGGTACCAGTGCTAGAAATGGGTCATGGGAAGAGCTGGTTCTTGTCCTGGCATGCCATTATATGACCTTGGTTGACCCAGCTCTAGCTCTTTGTTTCTTTATTTGTTAAATGTGGACAAGAATTTTCTGTCCTGATTATTTCACAGAGGCCTTCAGAAGATAAGAAATATGGGCAGATATATACCCACATACTTCCATAAGGATGAAATGCCAAAGAATGTAAAATTGACCTTGTTCTTTTTCCCTGAACAAAGTGGTGGGTAGGTGGGGGGTGTGTATGATGGCATTGTGTACAGAAGGCTCGGTGACTCAAAGAAGAGTCTTTTTTTCTCCTCCGTAATATCTGGTCGGGGATTATTACTGCTTTCCTGGTGATTTTAGTCATACCCTTCCCTTTCAGAAATGCCAAAGGTGCAAACACTGTTCCACTGCTATAATCTGTCACCGTGGCTGCCTGAGCAAGATGCACAGAGACAGTTCAGTAATTAAGCTCTTCAATGGGCATCATAAAGTTTTATTTCGGCAAAGGCTATATTTATCAGCTAACAAGTATTAAATCACCCACCGCTCAAGTCGTTTCTCACTTGAATATGTGCCTTTCAAAACACAGCAGCTCTCTTTGGCTGGCTTGACTAATAAAAGTCCTTACTTGGAAATACACTGGCAATGTGTGGTCGTGTGAAGTAGAAATATACCTAGCACTGTTCGAAGCACCGATGACCCCCATAGGCTAATGGTGGACAGCCTTGCCCTACAGTCTTTTATAGCATCCTTTTTTTTTTTTGTATTTTTGAGACAAGGGTTTCTCTGTGGCTTTGGAGGCTGTCCTGGAACTAACTCTTGTAGACCAGACTGGTCTCGAACTCACAGAGATCCGCCTGCCTCTGCCTCCCGAGTTCTCGGATTAAAGGAGTGCACCACCACTGCCCGGCTTATAGCATCTTTCTAATAGCTACCAGGACATGGATTTCCTTAGCTAGTTCCTTTCTAAAGGGCAAGAGGCAAGTGGAAATGAAAAGGTGGTAGGGGGTCTTTGGAATGATGGAAACAGTGAAGTCACAATGAGCTAGGTATTGGGGGGGATGGAGTCTGCTCACTTGGTCAACTTCTAACAAAATGTGCAGAAGTGGCAGGCTACCATGCTTAGAATAAATAGCTATGAAACGTTTTAGTAAGGGCCTGGAAGAAGGATTCTGTAACTAACCCATTTCCCACCTTACAAGTTCTTCTTCACTTGCAGGACATAAGTATGCCATTGTTCTTAAGGTTTCAGAACACTTTCTGTCCAATGGCTTCAGACAAACATCTGTTTAAAACAAAGTAATAAAGGCAGTTGAATGACTTTTTAGATACTTGAAAAAAAATAAAGGCAAACAAATATTCATCAAACATGGATGGGTGTCATGGAATAAATCACTTTTCCTTATTTTATGTCAGAAACTACATTTTATCTTTCCATCCTATGCTTTCAAACAAAGTGACACAAGCCACATGTAGGCTTTATAGTTTTTGAGTTTTGCCCATTTATTGATAAAAGGCAAGCTATCCTCAATGCCAGAAGAACAGGTCCTTATTTGTCGACAAACCAGATAATTCTGCCAGTGTCTGTGTAGGTGTGCATGCCGCAAGAACAAGCAGGTGACTGTATCAAACACTGCCCAGGGACAAACTCTTTGGATACATTTTTCCTAGTTTAGGAGTCTGAAATTATTATTTCTTTGCTTTCAAAATGACGGAATAGGGGGCTGGAGATATAGCTCAGTGGGTGGAGTACCTGCGTAGAATATACAAAGCCTTGGGCTCTGTATTCAGCACCACATGAACAGGGCATGGGACTGTGGTGGTTTGAATGAGAATGGCCCCTATAGGTTCATATATTTGGGTGTTTGATTCCTAGTTGATGGAACTATTTGGAAAGATTAGGAGGTGTGGCATTCTTGGAGTGGGTGTGGCCTTGTTGGAGGAGGGGTGCCACTAGGAGTAGGTTTTGAGATTTCAAAAGCCCATGTCATATCCAGTTAGCTCTCTCTACCTCATGGTTGTGTCTCAAGATGTAAGTCTCAGCAACTACGCTAGTGCTGTGTCTGCCTGCCTGCTGCCAGCATTCCTACCATGATGGTTATGGACTCATCCTCTAAAACTGTAAGCCCCAACAGCCTCTTTCTTCAAGTTGTGTTGGTCATGGTGTTTCATGACAGCAACTGAAAAGTAACCAAAACTATAGTATGCACCTGTCATCCCAACATTCAGGAGGCAGAGAGATCATAAATTTAAGGCCATCTTTAAATTTGTTTCTTTTTCAATTATTTAAAAACTAAAGTCAAGCAGTGGTAGTACACACCTTTAATCCTAGTACTTGGGAGGCAGAGGCAGGCACATCTCTCATATATATATATATATATATATATATATATATATATATATATCATCATTTCCCCTTTCCCCTTTCCTCCCTTCAGCCCCTCCCAGGTCTACTCCCCACTCTCAAATTCATGGCCTCTTTTTCTTTATTATTGTTACATATATGTATGAATATTGAAATAAAATATGCTGAGTCTATTCAGTATTGCTTTATGTATGTGATTTCAGAGCTGACCACTTGGAACTGGATAACTAGTTAGGAGTCTTCTCCTTGGGAAAGACTAACTTTCTCTCTCTCAGCATTCCTTAGCTACCTGTAGTTCTTTGTTCAGGGGTGGGGCCCCATGAGGTTTCCCCTTCCCACCCTAACCTGTCCAGTGGTGTCCTTATTCAAGTCTTGTACAGGTAGTCACACTGCTGAGTGCAGCTTCCCTGTCACTTCTAGGAGACACAATTTCACAGCAGATTTCCTGGTCCTCTGGCCCTTACAATCTTTTTGCTCCCTCTTCCAAAATGTTCTCTGAGGATTAGGTGCATTAGTTGTACTGTAGGTCTATTCACTGGGGCCAGACATCTCATAAGTTGTTCTTTGCCTTTTGACCAGTTGTGATTTTCTGTAATGCTCTCCATCAGCCACAAAGAAAGACTCATTTGATGAGTGGTAAATACAGTTTAGATGATGCCATGTTAATTAGGCTAACAATGCTACTACCAGAGCCATAGATGAACAAAAACCCCATCATAAGGCACAAGAAACCCCCTTTTCAGTTGTTAGCCAGGAGAATCCAAGAGATATCCCCAAACAATATATGCTGTTGCTGTTGCCCTTTGTTGCCCTTTGTGGAGGTAAGATCCAATTGTTGAGGACACTTTGGACACAGTCCACAGGAGGATAAGGCTAGATCTGACCTGAAAGCCTCCTCCCTGAGACAAATTTTCATAGTACTGAGAGGTGCTATGCAAGCTGACTGACAAGGGAAGGAAGGAACCAATAGTCCTATCCAGCTGTGATACCTACGACCACAACAATGCCCAGCATGAAAAGATACCCTTAAAGCAATAGTATTCATATTTTGGTGGTACCCAGCAGCTGTTAAAAGGACTTAAAGTCTTCTCAACAAGATGAAAATCATGCCTAATCCTAGAAACCTAGCCAACTACCCCGGGCACATAAGGTTATAGATGTTGGAGGAGAACCTACTACCACTACTTAATAAACCAGCAGAACTCCTAACTGTATTCTAAACCTTATACCCACAATTTTTTTTTAAGACCAACTGTCATTCATTTGCTTTCCAAATTCACAACAAATAGCTTGTTTGGAAACCCGAGGCTCAATCTTTCTCCAGTCAGCAATCACGAGACCAGATACTGAAGTATATGGGTGCCATGTCATACTGCTAAGTTAGAAAATACTGAGAGCTTTTTAAATGTATCTATTTCTGTTTGGTAGGATTTTGTTGAGCAACAGAAAATTCATTAGCTGTGACACAGTCCCAGTGCTATAATGGGCAGTACCAACCATGAGGATCTAGTGTTAAAGACTGATAAACTTCCTCTCAGTTCTGCTTAACTTTTATCTCACATACAAAGAGTGGAATTTGCTTTAAGACTAAAAAGTATTGTGTAACTTGGGAAATGAAGATTATTCATGTCACTTTCTGTCAACCCTTTGTGGGTCAAGCTTCTCTTCAAGCTGTAGTCTGGTGACATATGCGACCTACTACAAAGAGCCTTAATAACTCAGAAAGTAAATGGGAAACAAAAATTAATCCACATCTTAGAGAAATCTTGCATTTCAATTATTTGCAAAAATGTCAATTCAAGGATGTGTGAAGTTACAAAATGAGACTTCATAACCATTGTTCTTTATTCAGAACTGAAGTTTTCAAAAGGCTAATAAATTTCTGGGCCCTTGAATAGGAACTTTGATTTAGTATAATTCTGGGGATGGGCTATTTGTTCCTCATAAGCACCATTTTACTCCAAGAAGGATTTTTGGTCATGGAAAATCAGAGAAGCAGGGAAAGGGGCAAAGTCTAAGAAATTATCATTTTATTATGGGTGGTAGCTATCAAAATTATAACATTGTTTTTATATTTCACATGAAAAATGACAATTAACTGGAGACATTTTTCCAAGTAATTTCTCTCCACAAAATGGAAAACAGAGTAATTAATTACAGAGGTCTGTGAAAACAAAAAAAATCCCCAAGTCAATGTAGAAAACAAGAACATAGACCCTAAATATGATTCTTTAAAGCTTCCAGGACACTCAGGGCCGAGGCGACGCAGCCATCGAAGTTGGAGTGAGTAAATCCATCCCCGCCACACACCAGGGAAGGGTTGAGGTGAAGAGTCATCTGGCCGGGACAGTTGGCAGCTGAGTTTATAACCTGAAAATAGCAAAAATGAAGAAAAAAAGGCTGGAGTTGACATTCAGTGTGCCACTGCCCTGTCACAGCAATACCCACTAAGCTTTTGATACTTGGAGAAATTAAAATTTTACACATGGGGGGGGGAAGGGAGAGACTATCTCAAAGGTTACCTCTTGCCAAAATATTTGTATACATCTTCTCAAATGTTTAAAATTTCAATTACCAAATAACTGGAAATGCATTGAATTCCTAGATTTGTAGATACTATGGTTGGAATGCTTACCTGCCCTCTCCAAATTCTCATGTTGTTATCCTGTGCTGGATAATTTTATGTTAACTTGACTAAGCTAAGGTCATCCAAGAGGAGGGGACCTCAAGGCAAGCCTCTAAGGCATTTTCTTAATTAGGGGAAGACCTTCTTGATGGTCCACTGTGGGTGGTGCCATCCCTAGGCTGGTGGTGCTAGGTTCTACAAGAAAACAGGCAGAGAAAGTCCTGAGGAGCAAGCCAGTAAACAGCCCCTCCCTCCATGGTCTCTACGTCAGCTCCTGCTTCCAGGTTCCTGCCCTTTTTGAGTTCATGCCCTGACTTTCTTTGATGATGAATGGTGGTCCAGAAGTGTAAATCAAATACTGCCACCTTAACTTGCTTTTTGGTAATGGCATTTCATCACAGCGATAGTAACCCTAACTAAGACAGCTCCTGACCCCAATGGTGATGGTATTAGGAGAAAGGACCATTGGGAGGTGAAAGACACTGTGTAAGATTAGTGCCCTTATAAAGACGCAGGGGGAGTTGTTGATAGCTTCTACCATGGAAGCACACAGTTAAAATCCACCAACTATGAAGAAGCAGGTCCTCAGTCTACAGTGAACCTGCCAATTTCTGGGCCTTGGCCTTCCCAGCTTCCAGGAAGGACTGTGAGAAACATGCTTCTTTTACACATATGCCACACTCAGTCTGTGGTACTCGTTAAGTAGCGTGAACAGTCTTAGGTATCTATCCTCTCTGCCCCTCCTTTCTCATGTGTTTTCTGATCACTGTTCTCAGCACTGGAGCAGCTGAGTTTTAAAATACTACATCCCTGTCCTAGGCCAGAGACTGACTTCCTTCTGCTATTTACTGAGCACCTCCTAAGTGTTTGGAAAGTGTTTCAGCTTTTGTAGAATGCATTTCATGTGTATATCCACCCATGCAAGAAATTAAGTGCTACTGATCCATGTAGGAAACTGTGTTGAGTCTGCTGGAAGCATGGTCTTGGCAGTCAAGGTCATTCCAAGGAGAAGAAGAAGCAGAGTATGGAAATGCCTAGGTGTTTAAGAAACTATGGAGGAGCTGGTTACTCTCTCTCTCTCTCTCTCTCTCTCTCTCTCTCTCTCTCTGTGTGTGTGTGTGTGTGTGTGTGTGTGTGTGCACGAGCTGGATTGTGCATTCATGAATGTTGGGATAGGGGGTAGTGCAGAGGAAGGGACATGGAAGAGAGGACAGATAGAAGGCATACAGACTTTCAAACATTAAAGATGTAATAACTAATAAGTAAAAATAGCTACTGAGTATGTAGAATGTACTAATTTTTTATAACAAGGTCTTTGAAATGATAGAGGCAGAAGTTATTTCCAGGAAGAGTATTCATAGAGTCAAGTGGATGATGCCATTAAGCACCTGGAGCCAAGAGAATAAGGAGGAGTTAAATTTTAGTTATGTTGGACACTGAGCTGGTTGGCTACCGAAGCATCCCAAACTCCATAGAATACCGACACAGACAAGCTTAAGACAGTGGGAACCCAGCCGGCCTTTATGGTAGGGTTTTATCACACTAAATATCACATGGTAGGTCTCTATCCAGTAGCTTCATGGAGGGTAGGTACGGAGTAAGGGCTAAGAGGATTTGCTTCCTCTAACATCAGGCAAAGAATGAAGACATAAAACACACTATCTTGACTATGGTGTGGAGATTTTAGATTCTAGAGTGAGGCAGCACATACGCTTAGAATTTATTTTGCATGTGTGCTTGTTTCTATGTGTGAATGTGGTATATGAATATGCCCGCTTTGGTGTGTGGTTGTGGAGGACAGAAGTTGACAGAGGCTGTCTTCCTCTTTCCCTCTCAACTTTTATCTTTTGAGACAGTCTGTGAACTTAAAGTCACAAATTTGGCTAGGCTGTGTGGCCCAGGAGCTCTGGGATCCCTTCTCCACCCATCCAACCCAAGCATTATAGGACTGTCTGCTCCTATCTTCTTATGTGGGTGTTGGCGATGTCAATTCAGGCTCTCACATTTGCACAGTAAACATGCTTACCAACTAAGCCATCTCCCCTAGTCATCCCTTAGAATCTTTAAAACAGCAGTTCTCAACTTTCCTAATGCTGAAACCCCTTACTACAGTTCCTCATGTTGTGGTGATCTTCCAACCGTAAAATTACTTTGTTGCTACTTTATAACTGTAATTTTGCTACTGTTACAAATTGTAATGTAAATATCTGATATGCAGGATATCTGATATGTGACCCCTGTGAAAGCATTGCTAGACCCCCAAAGGGGTTGCAGCCCACAGACTGAGAACCAGATTTTTTTAAATCAGAAAATCTTTGCAGAGACGCCCTTGATTACATGCTATGTTTTGTCTCCCCTGCTCCTGGGTACTGAAAAACTGAGCCCACAGGCTTCAGCATGCTAGGCAAATAAGAAAGCTGTTCATAACCCTTTTTATTTTACTTTAACAAGAGATAAAGATCTCGAGATTCCTGGGTTATTCATCCACAAAAACAATGCTGATAGCCTCATATTCACACTTTTCTAGAGGCTACTTCATAGAAACATCTATACACACAGATGATAATCTTGAAACCTTTGAGATAAAGACCTTTGGGTAGTAAACGAGCAGATATTAGGGGCAGAGAAGCACAGATCTGGCTATTCTGCTTAGGTAGGATTTTAACAAGTTGGATTATTTGATTTGTCAATGAAACATCAAGTAAAGAAGGGAACTTCTAAGGCCTTAGATATTCAGGTGGCAAAGGTCTCAATTTCAAAATGTTTAAAGTCTGAAAGAGAGGGCATCTTAGCATGGAAACAGGACAGATGGTAATGAGAACAATGGTGGGACCTGAGACTAGCCTGGAAGGGGGCTCTCTGCTACAATGGCTCTCCATTATGGGGGAGACCTGAGAGGTTTCATTTTATTCTGCAGGTGGGTTTAAACCACTTGGAGAAAACAACTCTGCCTTTTTGGCTTTGAATTTATACATCTAACCCATCTAAGTTTATTAGATTGCATTAGCTACCCAGGGCAGGCAAGAGTTCTTTCTGTACAGCCATGCCACACATGTAAACCAGAGAAACCTGAATTTCTACAGGGCTGTTTCAGCCCTACATGCATATCCTTTAAATACAACTATTGAGATGTGGTTCCTGGCTGTGGCTGGAAGCATAGCCAAGGGCTGTATTATTGTGAGAGATTGTGGTTTTGACAATGACAGGGGCATCTCTTGCAGGACTCTCTGCTTCACATGGCTGAAGACACTTGCCAAAACACACTCCATGCTTTCATATTTTCCTCACTGGGTAATTCCACCTTCAATGCAAAGGGATTGATTTCATCCAAACTGCTGGCTAGCTAATCAGTGGCCCACTTTTTCAGCCATGTGATCTGGCATCTGGCATTTACTATTGAGTAAATTAAATTATATGGCACCAATGAATTACCAGCTCACAAGTGAGCAGAACATTTCCCCAGAGCTCCCTTTTGCTTATTATTTGTCAGTTTAAGAGTGCTCAGGCTCATTAGGGAGGTGGCAACTGGAAGGCACTAAAAACCACCACAAGTGGGGATTTCATGGGTGTGTCTATTCCTTTTATATTCTCTACGTGGATGTGGACCAGTAAGTTATCCCATGTGTGAATTTCCTAGATACATAGAGCTAAGTAACTATTTAAAATGCTTGGTTTTTAAAATTAAACATGATATACTGGGTTTTGTCAACTTGACACAAACCTAGACATACCTGGGAAGAAGGAATCTTAATTGAGAAAATGTTCCCATAAGACTGGCTGGTAGGGAAGTGGGTGGCGTATTTTCTTACTAGGTGATGGATGCGGGAGGGCCCAGGGCATTGCTTGGTGCCGTCCCTGGGCAGGTGGTCCTGGGATGTAAGGGAGCAGGTGAGTAAGCTAAGAAGCAGTGATCCTTCATGCCTTTGGCTTCAGTTCCTTCCCTGCTTGAGCTCCTGCCCCAACACCCTTCAGCTATGGACTGTTACCTGAAGGAGTAAGATGGAATAACTCCTTTCCTCTCCTAGTTGCTTTTAATCATGGTGTTTTACCACATCTATAGAAACTCTAAGACCCAGAGTTACACACGCATGCACACATGCACACACACATTATTTTAATCATAACTATAATACATCTTTGGCAAACATAAAAAGTTACTGAAGATATATACTGAGTAAGTCTTCCCGAGACTCATTTCTTTGGCAACACAGAGCTGCTGACCCCTGACAGCCATGCTCTTCCTCATACCACCCATGCTCTCTCGGTACTGTCTAGAACACGGACGACATGGTTTTCTTATGAGTGCATCCTTTGGGTCTCTTGGGATCTCCCCTTGAGCCACCAATTTCCCCTCTGCAGGTTCAGATCATACATTACAGAAAAAGGGTTTAACTGGAGTTTCTTTTCAGTGGAACAAAAGTTTCCAGACTGGCCAGACTGCTTAAACAATTAAATAATTTGTGGTTCAGGGCTTGCCCTCTTTAATGAGAAAATAACCAAGTTCACATGTATGAAAACCATATCTTGACTGTCTCCTGGCTCCTTGTTGGTATCTTATAATGGGTGAAATAAGACAAGTATTAAATAGATTAACAGAGGAGATGTGGCGAAATATATAACAAGTAGAAAAAGCCCATGAGTAAAAAGATAATAAAGGTGTGTCAGGACTCTTGAGGCAGCACCTGACCAATGTACAACGCTTCATTGTCTGGATTTTAATGCATCCAGCCATATTGGTTCAAGC